CTACTTTTTTCTCTTTGTTGTTTGCATGAAATATCTTTTTCCATCCCTTGACTTTTATTCTGTGCATGTCTTTGGGTTTGAGGTAAGTCTCTTGTAAGCAGCATATAGATGGGTCTTGCTTTTTTTATCCATTCTATTCCTCTGTGTCTTTTGATTGGTGCATTCAGTCCATTTACATTTAGGGTGGTTATTGAAAGATATGTACTTATTGCCATTGCAGGCTTTAGATTTGTGGTTACCAAGGGTTCAAGATTAACTTCTTTACTATCTTCCCGTCTAACTTAGCTCGCTTATTTAGCTATTTTAAACACAGTCTGATGATTCTTTATTTCTCTCCCTTCTTATTCCTCCTCCTCCATTCTTTATATTTTAAGTGTTTTATTTTGTGCTCTTTTGTGTTTCCTCTGACTGCTTTTGTGGGTAGTTGATTTTATTTTTTGCCTTTAGTTAGTATTTGGTTGGTTTGCTTTCTTTGCTGATTTTATTTACTCTGGTGACATCTATTTAGCCTTAGGAGTGCTTCCATCTAGAGCAGTCCCTCTAGAATACCCTGTAGAGTTGGTTTGTGGCTTCACCAGAGAGGGAATGGGCAGGAGGCTGTTTATTGCCATGAGGGGCCTCAGAGCTGTGCTCCTGCCCAGGGGGTTAGGGCACCCAGAGTTCCCCGGGATTCCCAGCTGCTAGGCTGAGTGTGCTAGGACCCTTCTGTCCACTGTGAGGTTCCTGTCCCTTTAAGACTTTCAAAACGCACTTGCTTTTCTTTTGTCCCAGGGGCATCGGCTGTGGGAACCTGCTTGCAGGTTTTACTGTTCCGTTTCCCTAGTATCCAGCACACCATGCACTGTGTGTCTGCACTCCTGGTGCAGATGACTAGGGCTGGCTATTTAGCGGTCCTGGGCTCCCACTCTCTCCTGGCTCCGACTCCTCTCCTCTTTCGGGGGAGCTGGGGTCAGGGGCGCACTCAGGTCCTGCCAGGCCATGGCTTGTATCTTACCTCCTTCATGAGGTGCCAGGTTCTCGCAGGTGTAGATGTAGCTTGGCTGTTGTACTTTACCTTCTGGTCTCTTTTTTAGGGATAGTTGTGTTTGTTGTATTTTCAAAAATACATATGGTTTTGGGAGGAGATTTCCACTGCCCTACTCACACCGCCATCTTGGCTCCTCCCCCTGGGTTTAAGTTTTTTGTTTCTTGTTATCTTAGATTTTAGGAGGAGTGGTAATAAAGACATGGTTCAATTTGCCATGTTTAAATGAAAGTCCTCTTTTCATTGTTCTTTATGTTTTTGTGTATCTGGTCTCCCTAGCTAGCTGGTCAGCTCCAAGGAATCTGCTGTTGAAGTGTTATTTATACATCATTGTACAGTGTCTTCTGAATAGGTGTTCTACGAATGCTTGTAGCTGATAATACCAATTACCTTGAATAGCACACAAAAGTACCCTTGGAGGTACATAAGACTTTTAATGTACATTGGCATAGGTCCTTAACTTCTGTCTTTTCCTTCTCTTCAAACTCATCTGAGAATGTCTACCGCCCAGGTACATTGGCTTTCCTTCCTCACTTCCTTTTTCATAACGCTTTCTCCCTCTTTAGCACACACACACATGCACACACACACACCCCTAAATCTTTTTATGTCGCAACTTTCACAGGGTGTAAAAACCTGCAGGACAGCATACAAAAACACAATTTGAAATATTGCTTTGGCATTTCTTCCAATTAAGGCATCATAATCCAAGGTCTAGCTATATTATATATATAGATACTAAGTACACATATATTTAATATGCTAAATACACGTATCCTAAAAAAGGATGAGGCTTTGTTGAAAGAACAAAGGAGCCAACCTGAAGGAGCTCTCTGAAGGAGGAATAATTTGAGCAATGGAACAGTATAACTGGATTTTAACCCAAAGAACAAAATGAACATCCGTGCATCCACGGTATAAATAATTAAATAAATGGGGAAGAAGAGACAGCTCTTTCTAATAGAATACTAAGTAGTGTAGAAGTATAGAGGGAAATAGAAATTCACCATTTGCAAGACCGCACCATTAGTAATTGTAGTTTAGAACCTCTAAAACTAGGGTAAATGTAAGGAGAATCAATTTGCATAGTCTCAGAGTACCTCTCCTAGGATATCTACTAACTAAAAAGGGAAAGACAGTAACCTTGCAATGGGAAAATCTGACAGAAACCACCTTTGTTAATTATTACAGGGTGCTGGAGGAGTTTGGGCAAGAACAAAGCCTGCTAGAATTCTCCTGCCATCAGTGTATGAGTTTGTTTTTGTAACATCAAAGCTGGCAACATTTTTCAAATAATGGCCAACTCTATTTAAAATAGCTATGACTTGTGAAATTCACCAAATGATCAAAGTCAGCATCACCAATAAGACATATAGATGTCAGGAATTCTGTGACATGATGGACCAAGGACATAACTTCATTTCTGTGATACTCTTCCAAAACCGAAACCTCAGTTCCATATGAAAACACCAGACAAACCCAAACTGAGGAACATTAGACAAAATAACTGATCACTACTCATCAGAAGTGTTAAGGGTATGAAAGACAGGGGAAAACTAAGGAACTGTTACTGACAGTAGCAGACTCAGAAGTTAACTACATGCATTTTCTGAGCAATACTATGGAATAGAAAAAGGACATTAGTGGGAAAATTGGTGAAAACTGAAAGTGGTTTTTTGGTTTAATTAATGGTGTTTTTTACCAAGTAGCAATTTCTTAGTATTGATCATTGTACTATGGTTACATAAGACACTAACATTAGGCAAAGCTAGGTGAGGTTTATTTGGAAACCTTAAAATTTTGGCAACTTTTCTGTAAATCTGCAATTAGTTCAAAATAAAAGGCCAAAATAACAGACAAAAGCATGACTATGAAGTACACTTTCTCTGCATTTTTTTCCATTTTCAGTATTAACTTGTAACCTAATGCTGTATTTTGCCTCTCAGACAAAACTGCAACATTGACAGCCATAAAATGAAATTTTTGTGGAATGTAAACCTATGATCTAACGACTCCTCTTGATATGGCTGTGGCAGGGAAACAATACATTTACTACATTTGCTGGGGACTCAGCTTCCAGACAGGAAGGAGGAAAACTTTGCAAGTTAGTCTCTACTCAGCCATTGATGCTGCTTTTTTAAGTGAACTGTCTGACTAGAATACACTTCCTGCCCTCTCTACTTCTCCAACCACACTTTTTAACGTTGTAATAAAAAGAAATAATTAGAATTAGTTTAAATGTCTTTGCCCTAAAAAGGAGTAAGAACTGGCATAAATTAAGCTAGCAAGGAGATAAAAGAAGCTTAAGCTGTGAGCACAAACTATGGGTTTTATTTAATTGCAAGTAATGCAACCTATGTACACATTTTATTCTCTTCCAAGTTCTTTAACTGCAAAAAGGACTGTAATAGAGGCAGCAAACATTATAAAATGTGTTTAATTAGTAATTTATTAAGTTTACCTGTCAATTGATACTTTCTGTATGAAGCCTTTGAAATGTTTTGAGAGTTAATTTATAGTCACTAAAAGCAGATGGTTGCATAAAGCTTACAGGTAATTACAGGCTCCTGAAACTCACAACATACATGTACTTCAACATTTAAATAGAAGCCCATTTCTTCTAAAGTAATTTCCTACTTTCCCATAAAAATATAAAAAAAGACATCTAATTTTAAAAACCTGTATTTAACCCAAATCAAGACTTTTCTACAATAGCTTTCCAAAAAGTTTAAAAGACATCACAGAATACTGTGATGTTAATCCAAATAATTTCACTACAGCAAAGTATTTTACTTATAAGAAATATTGTGCAGTGTTTTAACTTTTCATGCTAGATTTCAACTGTGTATACACTATATAAACATACCAGATTAACCCATTACTCATATTTAGGTAGTAGACTGTCACATATGACCAGTTAACCATATAAACTGTCATACTGCAATTGAAAAAATGGGAAAAGGCAATCTTTATGAAACTTAAAAAAATCTCAATAGAAGGCAACTGACATCACCAAAATTTTCTGTAAAAATTACCTCATCTTCTACTTTCTTTTTCTTGTTGAATGGTATCTTTTATAGCATACAGACATTTATATTACTTTTACTTAATTTAGCCTTGTGACTGTTATCTTTTTTGACACTGAACTTATCAAAAGTCACCAAAATTAGACTCCTAAGTAGTATTTCAGAAGTTTGTTCCTTTTTAGGTTCCTCTAGAATGATTTTCCTCAGAGAGGGTAACTCTAAGAACTAGAAGAAAATGAATGACACAACACAGTGAGTTGAAACTTGTACCATCCAAAATGTATAAATATATGAACAGGTTCCTTGAACTTTTCATTTAGGACAAGTCAGAATAACTTGCTGAACATAAACAAAAATAGAGCACATTTTTTAACAATAGGAAAACACCTCAGCTTATCATAACAATGTATGAAATCTTACATAATAATACACAGCCCAAAGAATTAGAAATTCACAGCCAGATACTTGACGCATTTTCCTGAAAACATGTCTGATGCATGGCACTAACATATTAACAAAGTCAGGGAGAAAAGATAAATTTCATCACAAAAAACATATTTTCTGGATTCCAGCTCTAAGTTTTAGAGGTATACCTTAAAAATACAAATGAAAAACAGGATTCACCCTTAAAATAAAAAAAGGCTTATTGGTATGATCCATAATAGTCTTTATGATTTTACAATGGAAAACTTTTGAACTCTAGAAAATTTGACCAGTTAACCTATTTGGCCTTAATATATTCTAAATCCCCTTTTGAGAAACACATTAACGTCTTTAGTCCCTCAGGATGCAGCAGTTCTATTTGTTTTTCTTCTTTCTCGGTGGTTCATCCTCAGAGGTGCTGTCTGTGCTGGCACTGCCGGCACTGGAAGAGCTGGAATCCGAGTCTGAGTCAGAGGACGAGGAGGAGCTTGTGGAAGAGGCTGAAGATGATGAGCTGGAGTGGCTTGCATCGCTGTCACTGTCGTCCGAGGAGGACGAGGCGGAAGTTTCTTCACTCTCTGATGAAGAATCACTGGCTGAACTGTCACTGCTACTGCTACTGGAACTGGTTACACTCTTCGACCTATCAGACAAAGGGAAGCTGACATTTCACTACTTACCAGATATAACTGGTTAGTAACTTAACTAAGTTAGTAACAGTGACTTCTTGCCAGTCTAATAACATTTCCTATTCTAAGCCAAGAAACATTATTTACTATTTCCAGGTATAAGGATTCTAGAAGTTGGAGAAAAAGAAGAAATGATTTGACCCAGTAATTCCACTCCTAGGAATTTACCCAAAGAAAACATAATCCCTGATTCAAAAAGAGATATGCACCCCTATATGTATTCCTCACTATTTGCAATAGCCAAGCTATGGAAGCAACCTAAGTGTCCATCAACAGATGAATGGATAAAGGAGATATGACACATATATAATATGGAATATTATTTCAGCCATAAAAAGAAAAGAAATCCTGCCACTTGCAACAACACGGATGGATCTAGAGGGTATTAAGCTCTGTCAAATACCAGGCAGAGAGAGACAAATACCATACGATTTCACTTATTTGCAGAGTATAAAAACAAAGCAAAACGGGAGGAAAAAATATGATGGCATGAGAAGTGTGGTGGAAATCTCCTCCGAAAACCACATATATTTTGAAAATATAGCAAATACAACTATTCCTAAAAGAGTGACCAGAAGTAACAGTACACCAGCCAGTCTACATCTGGGAGAAGCGAACATCTCATGGAAAAGGGTAAAGAAAAAAGCCACGATCCAGTGGGACCAAAGCACTCCCCCAACCCTAGCTTACCGGCAGGAGGAAAAGAATCAGATAGCGGAGGGAGCGGTAGCACAGGACTACTGAATACCCAGCCCTGGAAATCTACCCTGGGAGCACAGACCCACACTGCAGGGTGCTCTGGAGAGTAGAGGGGCTGAACACCGAAGTCAGACACTAAGACTAACAACAGGTTCCTACAACCACCTGCTCTGGGACAAAAGAAAAGCAGGCGCTTTGAAAGACTTATCAACAGTCAGAAGGCTGCTAAAGGGGCAAGGGATTAGCAGAAGGAACAGGTAGACAAAATAGTCTTGGCACACTCAGTCCAGCAGGTTGGGAACTTTCAGGAGCTTCAGGCGCTGAACCCCCTGGTTGGCAACGTAGCCCCAAGGTTACTCACCACAATAAGCAGGCCTGCCATTCCTTTCTCCCTGTTGGCACCTGTGCACAAACCAGCTGTCCCCACCATTGCTGCAGACCAGCGGGAGGGCAGCTCTGCCTACAGCAACTACACAGCTTAACACAGAGGCTTCTCCCTTCCTGCAGCCAAATGCCCCAGACAGCAGATACAGGCATGGCGAGCGGGAAGCACAAAAGGGCTTTGCCCTCCCTTCAAACACATGCGCTGCCTGCCTGCGACCCCTGCCATCACCCTAGGACATCCCAAGGGCCTCCCGGCCCTTGAAAGTTTAGGGGATTAACCCAGAGGCTGCTCCCTACATGCAGTTAACTGGCAAAGACAGGGGAGACAGGTACTGCAACCAGGAAGCAGGAGGGGACTTTGTTCTCCCAGCTGACACCTGCACCACTCGCCTGCGATCACTCCCATCACACCAGGACTATGAAAAGGCAGAAGAACCTTGTTCAATTCAAAATCCCTCAAACACCAGAAAGAAGGCTGGTGAAAGTTAAGTCATCAGTCATCCCCCAAAATAATTCAAAATAAAAGTCATAAGCATGCTAATGGAGCTACAGAAAAAAATTCAAAAGCTAAGGGACAAATTCAGGAAGGAGACAGACACCTTAAAAATGCAGTTACTGATATGAAACAAACAATGGAGGGATTTAAAAGCAGATTTGATGAGGTAGAGGAGATAGTAAATGGAAAAGAAATTAGAGAATAGGAATAAAAAGAAGCTGACATAGAGAGAGAAAAAAGGATCTCTAGGAATGAAAGAATACTAAAAAGAACTGTGTGACCAATCCAAATGGAACAATATTCACATAATAGGGGGTACCAGAAGAAGAAGAGAGAGCAAAAGGGATAGAAACTGGCTTTGAAGAAATAATTGCTGAAAAAACATCCCCAGAATGGGGAAGGAAATAGTTTCTCAGCCAATGGAAGTCCACAGATCTCCATAAACAAGGAACCCAAGGAAGACAACACCAAGACATATAATAATTAAAATGGCAAAGATCAAGGACAAGGACAGAGTATTAAAAGCATCCAGAAAGAGAAAAAAGATCATCTACAAAGGTAAATCCATCAGGCTATCATCAGACTTCTCAGCAAAAACGTTAAAAGCCAGCAGGGAGTGACATGATATATTCAATGCAATGAAACAGAACCGCCTTGAACCAAGAATTCTCTACCCAGCAACATTATCATTTAATTTGAGGAGGGATTAAAACAATTCCCAGATAAGCAAAAATTGAGGGAATTTACGTCCCACAAACCATCTCTATAGTGTATATTTTTAAATTTTGCTATCATTAATGTACAATTACATGAACAACATTATGGCTACTAGACTCCCCCTATTATCAAGTCCCTACCACATACCCCATTACAGTCACTGTCCATCAGCGTAGTAAGATGCTACAGAATCACTACTTCACTTCTCTGTGTTATGCTGCCTTCCCCATGTCCCCCCTGCCTACATTATACATGGTAATTGTAATGCCGCCTTTTCCCCCTTATCCCTCCCTTCTCACCCATCCTCCCCAATCCTTTTCCCTTTGGTAACTGTTAGTCCATTCTTGGGGTTTGTGAGTCTGCTGCTGCTTTGTTCCTTCAGTTTTTTCTTTGTTGTTATACTCCACAGATGAGTAAAATCATTTGATACTTGTCTTTCTCTGCCTGGCTTATTTCACTGAGCATAATACCCTCTAGCTCCATCCATGTCGTTGCATATCTACAGTGTATTTTAAAGGGACTGCTCTAGATGGAAGTGTGCCTAAGGCAAAATAGTTGGCACCAAGGAACATAAAACCACAGTAAAGGAAATAGAACAATTAATTACTAAGCAAATGCAAAATTCAATCAGTTACCCACAAAATCAGTCAAGGGATACACAAAGAGTACAGAATATGACACCTAACATATAAAGAGAGGAGGAGGAAGAAAAACAAGGGGGAGAAAAAGAATCTTCAGACTGTGTTTATAATAGCATAATAAGTGAGTTAAGGTAGACTGCTAGATAGTAAAGAAGCTTCACTTGAACCTTTGGAACCATGAATCCAAAGTCTGCAATGGCAACAAGTACATATCTATCGATAATCACCCTAAATGTCAATGGACTGAATGCACCAATCAAAAGACATAGAGTTACAGAACAGATAAAAAGCAGGACCCATCTATATGTTACCTACAAGAGACTCACTTCAAACCAAAAGACATACACAGACTAAAAGTGAAGCGAAGGAAAAATATATTACATGCAAACAATAGTAAGAAAAAAGCAGGAGTTACTATACCTGTATCGGATAAAATAGACTTCAAAACAAACAAAGTAACAAGAGAAAAAGAAGGACATTATATAATGATAAAAGGGTCAGTCCAACAAGAGGATATAACCATTATAAATATCTATGCATCCAACATAGGAGCACCCAAATATGTACAACAAATACTAACAGAATTAAAAGGGGAAATAGAATGCAATGCATTCATTTTTGAAGACTTCAACATTCACCTCACTCCAAAACACATATCAACAAGGCAGAAAATAAGCAAGGAGACAGAGGCACAGTAGAACACATTAGAACAGATGGACCTAACAGACAGCTATAGAACACTCCACCCAAAAGCAGTAGGATACACATTCTTCTCAAGTGCACATGGGACATTTTCAACAATACATCACATACTAGGCTACAAAAAGAGCCTCAGCAATTTCAGAAACATTTAAATTGTACCAACAAACCTCAGATCACAAAGGTATAAAACTGGAAATAAATTTTACAAAGAAAATAAAAAGGCTCACAAACACATGGAGGCTTAACAACATGCTCCTAAATAATCAATGGATCGATGACCAAATTAAAACAGAGATCAAGCAATATCTGGAGACAAATTAAATAAACAATTCAATGCCCCAACTTCTGAGAGATGCAGTGAAGTCAGTTCTAGGAGGAAAATATATAGCAATCCAGCGTTTTTTAAAGATGGAAGAACAATAACAATCCCAAAGGAACAGTCTAAATTCACAATTACTGAAACTGGAAAAAGAAGAACAAATGAGGCCCAAAGTCAGTAGAAGAGTAGAAGGAGGAACATAATAAAAATCAGAGAAGAAATAAATAAAATTGAGAAGAATAAAACAATAGAAAAAAATCAATAAAACAAAGAGCAGTTTCCTTGAGAAAATAAAACAAAATAGATAAACCCCAAACCAGAATTACCAAGAAAAAAAAGAGTCTACACACATAAATAGAATCACAAATGAGAAAGGAGAAATCACTATAGACACCACAGAAATACCAAGAATTATTAACAAACTGGATAACGTAGAAGAAATGGGTAACTTTCTAGAAAAATAAAATCTTCCAAGGCTGATCCAGGAAGAAACAGAAAATCTAAACAGACCAATTACAAGCAATGAAATTGAATCAGTAATCAAAAAAATTACCCAAGAACAAAACTACCAGACCAGATGGCTTCACCACTTAATTTTATCACACATTTAGGGAAGACATAATACCCATTCTCCTTAAAATTTTCCAAAAAAAAGAAGATGGAGAAATACTTCCAAACTCATGCTATGAAGCCAGCATCACTCTAATACCAAAACCAGGCAAAGACACTACAAAAAAACAAAACTGCAGACCCATATCCCTGAAGAACATAGATGCAAAACTACTCAACAAAATATTAGCAAACCGGATTAAAAAATACATCAAAAAGATCACACATCAGGATCAAGTGGGATTCATCCCAGGGATGCAAGATAGTACAACATTAGAAAATCCATCAACATAACCTACTATATCAATAAAAAGGACAAAAATCACATGATCATCTCCATAGATACTGAAAAAGCACTTGACAAAATTCATCACCCATTCGGATGGA